AAGAAAAAGAGGCGACGTGGATTTGATATAGTGGCTAATCCCGAACAGGTAACCAACGATGACGTGGCTTTTTCTGCGGTCGTCAGCGTATAAACCAAAATCTTTGATAACAGTTTTGGCAATTACTCACTTTTAACTCATATTATATAACTTATATAATTAATACTTCACCGGATTGCATTAGCATTAGTATTGTTTGCGAACCAATATCTAGAAAAGCAACCGTAGGGAAGAATCCAACACATAAACAATCAGGTCAGCATAACAGTGAACCGGAACCATACTTAAGTCATGTTCAACAAATACCTTGTGAACAAATCGTTGAAGTCAGAGGACTGGGATATGACCATATGCAAAACTACGCCAATCTGTGACAGCTGATGCTTGACACCAGTACGAGACAGCTGATCCCACGGAATCAACGACAAGCAAAACGTAACTGGAGGTACCATTCGATTACTGAAGATGTTACTGTAAGGGAAACAGCCCACGTGCATGACGTACACCAGCGTTGGTTAGTCGGTGGAGCATCAGGCTCAGAACCGTTAATTCCCGTGGTCGAGCCCCAATCGCTCACTGCTCTTTCTTCCCTCTGAGGTAGAAGGAATGAGTACAGCAATATGGAAGGAAACCGGAGACCATGCCTATACGTGCCACATAGCTGTGGACCCTGCCTTCAAACCATGGCACCCTGGCAGATGGCAGAGAAAGGTAAATTAGCGCCAAACTTCGTGTAAAGAGTACACATGATCCCAAACCATCAAAGTTTATCGGTGATCAAACACCGTCCATTTCACCTATCGTTTGGGCTTCAAACGAAGGATCTTCGATCATTGCATGCATTGAGTGCTAATGTACGAGTGCGAAATATGAATGCTGCCCATAAAGTACAGACTAATCAATACAGGATGGAAAAGTGCATGTTGGGAATAAATAAATAGAGTAACAACACGAACGAGTAACGAAAAAAACGAATATCTACAATGTCCCAATGAATGCAGATGAATTGAAACGCTTGTGCAAGAAGAGTCAAAAACCGCTGACCTGAAAAGATATAAGATTTAGATCCACGAGGCAGCAAACAGCCCGCAGTAGTCCCTCTAAATCGACGACAAGACGAAATAAAGTTTGTTAGGTCAGCTTTTCAAGGCGCTGCCTTTTTTCCCAGGTCTCGGAGAGCCCTTCAGTCAGCAATGGATCAAAAGAAGGCTGACGACGATTACGGTGATGGCGATGATCAGCATTCTGCTACTAGAAATACTGACGAATCCTCCAAACCGCTGAACAGGCTAATCCTCCTCAATTAAAAGGAGGCTATTCGGTGAATTACAGCAGCTTTCTTCTTCTACGCGTCAGATAATCAGCTGATTACAGCAGCGCTCTTCCTTTGATCAGATCCTGCTAGGTGACCAAAACGTCAATGCCAATAAAGTTACAAGTCACATATAACTCATATCAAGGACAAAAGCAAACGTCATCTAAGCTATTAAAATATTTGCTTCAATTTTCCTACAGAAAGAATACAGTTTCAGATGTACAGGTAGAATGTGGAACAGACAGTACTACAGTTTCGTACGCTCCTTCTAGTGGAAATCTAGCAAGCGCAAAGTCGCAGGATTACACGCCTTAGTAAGCAAGGTAGAATGACAGCTGCGAAGTCGCAAACGGTCGATTAATGAGGTAACGAAAATCTCAGGCGCTGTGACGTTCCTCGATTTCACAGCTTGTCAAAAAAACCTACTTGGTGGAATATTTTTCTGAACACCGACTGGAAGAATACGACTATAGCCATCAAGTACATACATCGACCAAGTCACGGGAAAACATACGCCACCTACCTCCCGGGGAGGACACCGTTTCACCGGACAGCATGTTCCACTGTCAATCAGAAAACAGCCAAGCACGATACCTGAAGAGACTGTTGCAGTACATTTCATTCGTCAACCGCGTTAGAAAATTGAATTTCATTTCTTCCGCAAGAAACGGTTCTTTGGCGTTGAACAGGCTGCGATGCGGTTGCCCAGGGGCTGTTCCCAGCACCACGCAGTAGAGCGCACCGAATGTTGGAAAACCCAAATCCAAAGCGTTGAAAGTAGGCGTCTACTTCTGAAAGGTACAAGTGATACATCAACACCGGATACCAAGTCTACCCACTACCCGTACGTCACAAAGCAGCATCGTACATTCAGTCTTGCTACAGCGTCTACTGGGACACGGGAGACGAACTCTGCCTTCGACGAGTCTTCGACCAGACATGAATAATACGTTCTTATAAATGAACCTGCGTGATGGGTGTGAGAACAGTGATTCACCGAAAGCGAGTTACAGGCGCCAAAGAGACGAGAAAGTTGCTCACAAAATCGCGGGACCAAGTGGAGAAGCGACGGTGAGCAGCAGCACAGTCTGTGCCAGTTGTGCTAGTTCTCTCAAGGCATGCCCATTCCTCACCCGACTGATTAAAAATGTCAGGATTGTGAACACGAAATTTTAACACCTAAGCCATTAAAATAACCGTTAACTAACTTATACGTTCGCATACTTTTTTCTGTGCTAACGACAAAACGGCATGATGCACACTACCTCATGTCACCTCTGGACGATGCGTTGATAGTGTTGACATTTGCCCCAATTCATTACGTCGCCAATGCAGCATTTCCTCAGTCTTCCGCTGTTGTCACAACTCGTGAACAAACTCCAGCAAACAACTGTACACAACAGGAAAAGAAGAGGAAGTTACGAAGCGCCTACACAACGTAACTCTAAAGCGAGTTTAAATTTATTGCCGTAGCTTCATTAGATGAATTCATTTAATTTGTCGACTGCTTAAAACGGTTTTCAAAGCTCTGAAAACTGCGCAAGCAAACGAAGGACCACCATTAAACAATGGTTGGTCACCTCCACCGTTCCTCAAACCCTGCTCCAGAATCCAAGTTTGCCAATGAGGTTGTTCAGTCGCCGTTGCAGACAGCAAAGCCGGAGGATTGAACTAAGTTCAATGAGAGACATTTCGTAAGAAATCGTTCACCCGGACATCATGCCAAATTGAAACAAGTATCAACGGTTGTGAAAGCAATATGAGTATCCAAAGTTTAACCTGAAATTTATTTATATCTGTATATTGACCCCCCCCCTAGGATAAACTTAGCGAGAATGCCACTTGTTTGACAAGGTTCAACAAGCTTCAGAATTCTTCAGACAGATACCGCATTATGTCGGCCGCTTCTTCGCTAGGATAAATAGGGCTCACGGTTGCGATGACTTGTCAGAGGATAAACTACAAGATGGGCTACCGTCACAAAGCCAGGGGTAAGAGATCGAGGATACGCTAAGTGCCACATGACTCGAGCGCATGGTTCACTTGGCATCGGTAGAGCCTCACAGACGTGTAGGTCAAACAAGGTTTCTTAGTTGAAACAGCTATAGCAACGAATGGTTTCAAAGAAACCACTTGTTGGTAGAAGACTTCTAGCGGATCCAACCAAAACCCTCTCTCCCTTTACTACATCGCATACGTCGTTCATCGATAATTAATCAATTAATTAAACCGTTCCTTGTATGGGCATATTTCCTTCAGCCGGAATTTTGTTCCGGTTGAGTTACTTTGCAAGCTGTGCGGTGTGTGTTTACAACTGGAAACAGAATGCTTCCTTGCGGCAACACAAATAAACAACAATAACCGTACAAACTTCAGAAGGAACAACGCCAACAACAAAGCTTATATACTGAACATAATGTGAAAGAGCTTTTACGGTATCGCACTGCGTATCTGATATAAGATTTACGGCGTATACGTCATCCTACGTTTCGGATGGTGCTCGAAGTTACAAGTGGTAGCACAGCGGCTAAGAAGTCGGCTTTTAACTGCAGAACTGTCTGGGTCGGTTCTGCTCCGGGGACAATCGTTTTATGAACCACGGATGCCCCTCAGCAAAAAATGAACCCAACGTAGTTTCGGCGAAAAATAGGGCCAGAATTATATCCCAGAGCGGTAATAACATTATCGACGAGACGTGGACCATGTAGGGCTTCAACGCACTCGGTTTCGATACACGCATCTGGTATAATAATGAGAAAAAGGTGTAAACCCGATTTCGATTGCATGGTTTCACAAATTGCACGTCGCCTGACATCAAACGCAGCGTGATCCGAGTAATGAACTTGATATACTGTATCATCCC